CCTCGTCGAACGTGTGCTCGACGTGCAAAGAAAGTTTCGGCAGAAAAAGAAAAACATTTTTGTCTTATTTTGTCTTGTAGCGCAACGTCTGCATTCAAAAGTATCAAGTCTCGCGCAGGCGGTCACTATAAATAAACGAAACAGGAAGAGAAGAACTAGAGAGAATCGCGAAGTCGAGGTTTCTGCGAGCGCGACAACTGCTGAACGTGTGAAATTTTGTCACTTGGATCGTATTGCAACATTTTATCGATGTCGATGTCGATGACCACGATGTATAAACTATTATAATTTAATTTATTTCGACGAAATTTATATGTGTTTGTGAAACGTAAGTAGCTTTTTATGCTTATCTAAATATTTACTAAATAAGTGAACATTTAAATCGCGCCTCAAGCGAAATGTTTAATATCTATAACTGTTGATATTCGAAGAAATTTAATGAAAAATCGTACTGGATTGATTGCAGATCTCTTTTAATGGTTTTGTCATGTATTTTATTCGACAGCGTATTTTTACTCAGAGGTAAAATTATGTAAACAAACAAAAATCTACAAAACTAATCGCATCGATCCTCAGGTCGCAGAATAACTCGCGAACGCAGTTTCAATTTTTCGATCGATTTTTAACATATCTCTCATTCATTGAACCGCTTCGAAGTCAGGATCGGGGTCACGTTGCGCCGAGATCTGCAACAAAAATTTCTTTCAATTCTTAGTTAAATTCTCAGTTATTATAGCAGCGTTTGCTCGATTGTTTCGACTGACATACATTTATTTTAAAAAATTATTTTGTCTTCGCGTTATGAATATGCCTCAACGGGAAAGTGCGCACAGCTATGAATGGGTTAGCGTCTCTTAATTATCATTCAAGATATTCTGGTTATATATATATATTTTTTTTATCACAAAAGGAGCACAATACGAATCCGTGAATTCATCTTCAAGCCGACATGCCCTGAACCGGATCTTCCGGTGCTGCACCCCGCATCCGCTGAAATTGCGCGTCCGCAGGGAACCGCCTTCTCCGGAACTACATTTGCCGTGCGCAATCATAAGCTCTGTCAGATCTGAAATAAAAATTAGTTTCTCCGATTATTAGTTTCCTCACTCGATTTTACACCGGAAAGCAGACTTATTTCACCCAGATGAGGAACCAATAATATTGAAGAGTACTACTCCCTCTCTCTCTTTGCTCTTAAAATAACAAAAACGTAATGCGATAGTCGCGTACACATTAGCCTCAAATTTGGCGGAGAAAATTCTCTCGTAACGTTGCTAGTGACAATAATGAGAATACATTGTTCTAATGAAGGTTACTAATGATTTCTCCCACACGACCATCGTGGTATTGTGTATATTGATGTCCATATATATAATTTGAATAATTTAAGGAAATCATGAAAGCAGCAAGCGATTTTATCGGATGTAATCGCTAGCCTGCGTCAAACATTGTTCCGTCTCGTCGGTATAATTATGTATATTGTTACATTGAAGCGCGAGACTTTCGACACTCTAAATCGCGACAGTAAACCGCAATTTATTTTAGTATTCAACTTGCACTATAATAATATATTCAGCATTATACCACATCATTATATCATAATCTGTAGTTATTTAATGTACGTTTCGTTAACAATTTTCGCATTCCTGTGCGTAATTATAATTTAATAATATTGAAATAATTAAATAAAAATATTAGAAAATCTGCGAGACTTATTAAATATTGTCAAAATGAAAGAAATGGCAGGATAAAAATTATTAAATTTTCACATATATGTCAATCTCTATTCGCGAATGATTCAATCAAAATATCATAAATCGTGATTTAAGAATTAAAATGTAATTACGATATTTTTAAAAAATCAACAACGTATGTTACGTACAGAAAATGTACCTCTAAATACTTTTATTACGTAAAACATCTTTACGTTTGCAGTGATTATCAGAAGCGGTGAATTGAATTTATACTGTAAATAGAAACGCAAATGTATCTCTTGATGATGCTACATAAAAGTGTCTCTGACGACGTAAAAAAAGAAAAATGAAAAATGAAATAAAGTACTGAAAATAGTCGTAAAATTCATCAACGTAAAATATTGACACAATTTTACGACTTTATTGCAGAGAAGAATGATTACGACGATAATTCGGCTTTTGTTAATTGTTAACGATAATATTCGGACAGAACAATTGAAAGCGCAATCTATTATTCTAAGGATTTTGCGCAAATCGATTTTCAATAATATATTACGGGGGGGGAAAAAGGAAATTAATACGGCTTCCCTGGGACTACGAATTAACGAGTAATTTTCACGGGCTTCCCTTGGCTTCTTTCTCCCGTCATGATACGAGAGTATTCTCCATAATAAGCTCGTGGATTCGTCTTTAATTATCAGAAATCAATACTGTAAATGCATATTATTATGGCGGAGGACGGGGATCTCACCTCTCTCTCTCTCTCTCTCTCTCTCTCTCTCTCTCTCTCTACCCTTTTTTCTGTCTCTTATTCTCTTTGAAAGAGACAACAGCTGTGAGATATTACTTTCCTATCATCTGCGATACGTAGTGTATTCCTTTGCGCCTTTCATCCCGCCTGCTCAAGCGAACGTGCAGATTATAACGTTTTGCAAATCGTCCGAAAATTTAGAATAAAAATCGAGAACACCGACGCGACAACATAGAAAGCCCGTCGACGTCTCTTCTCACCGCGTAGTTGAGAGAAAACGGAATTCAACATCGATAACACATAAATTATTCCCCTCGACAATCACCTTATTCTCCTTTCTCCTTCCAAGCAGCGTCACTCGACGCGTCCCGCATCAAATGGAGGGAATCGATATATTTTATCCTTGTCGGCGAAGCTTTCGGGAAAGTAGCGCCGGGGGATGTCGCCGGAGGGGGCGCCGCCGAGGGGATGCAAAAAGGCGCACGTGAATGCGCTTTTAATTCCACTCACGTATCTTACCGGGCGCGACGGTCACGTATTTCCAGTCGCACGGCCGCCCTCGCCGGAGGCCGCTCGCGCGCGGAATGTCCGACGGCGTATGTGCAAATGATTTTAATTGCCGCCGTGAATTATGTAGACGTTATTTCCATATTTCGTTGGCCCACACGCCAGAGGGAATCGGCCTTCCGGTCCTTTTGCACTCCCCCGCCCTCCCGCTATTCGTACGCAACTGCCATTACGGTGCGCTCTCAGCATCGCAAAGAATGAATATGGAGTTGCTAATCGACGTGTAAATTACCGCGCCGGGACCGTTTCGCCGCTGCGAAATGTCGTTAATGATTTCAGCTGGCCGATCCCGCCGTCTGTTGTACAACACGCTCTGCTAATCGCCCGCGCGCTGCAACGTATCCATTTCAGCGCATTTGAGCGTATTTAAGCGCTGTGCCCGCATTATCCGCGGCGCTTCTTAACGTTATCTAGGGAGCGGCTCAATATTTCCCGCGATGTTCCCGCCAGGTGCGTCGTAAAGTCTCTTTTTCCTCGTCTTGACGTCTCCGCCATTCCCGCTCAAACTTCTCTCTTCTTTACTCTCCGCTTTGCCGTGGCCGATCGACGGGCAAGCAAAGTGTTTGGAATCTCCGCCGATTGGGTCGTTATTGCAACGGCGAATTTTTCCGAGACGACGATAGCGGCTTTAGCGATGATGGATGTATTTGTGAATTTTCATCGACGTTGACTAACGACGCTTCGTAACCGGGCGCGGTTTCGTCGGAGTGAGAAGTAAATTGCGCGGTCGATAGCCGGGCCGACGTGTATGCGTGCGGGGGGGAGTGGGTGTCGGAGGCGAGCGAAAGTGCGCGGCGAATTCGGGGTTGACGGCGAGAATGCACGCGAGGAAGCATTCTTCCTTAGCGGCTTCACGTCTTAGCGAGAAACTCTTGCAAAAACGCGCTGCAGAGGCTCGTCATTTTTTATCGCTGAAGCTCATCACTTTTCATCCTCAGAAGTTCATTCGTTTGTCCATAATATATACAATAATATCTCGATATTAATAATATAAATATGTACAGTTATTATATTATTATATGGTATATAATATGCACGGTAATATATATTATTATTAATAATATTTCTATAAAGAAGATTAATACGTTGAATAAAAATCGTCGTGATGTACTGACAAATGTCGCGAGTGCATTTATATTTTCAGAACGCTTCTATTCACCGACAAATTCTTTGCGCGTGACGTTTTTATCCGACAATAGTCACTTCCGCAAATTTCTGTTTTTGCCCTCCCCTGGAAGAACTTGGGTAATTCCAGCCCGCATTCACATTTCTCATCGCACCCCTCATTCCCCGGCGTCTCTTTCTGCTCGTCTTGAAGACAATTTCGCGCGCGATCGAGTCGACGATATAAAATTCAGGACGAAAGTAAAGATAAACTCGCACCGCCGAGCGCTTCGTGAGAAACGTTAAATTAAAAGTCTCCTCGGTGTCGAGGCGAAAGTATCATGCGAGGGAAGAATTTGTCGTTGATTTTAAGAAGGCTTTCTTAAAATCAATATTTCAAGGATTTCATGTCGTTTTACAGTTTTAGTAGTAATATCAGAGTAAAGCGCGTCGCAGAGAGAGATAGAAAGAGAATACCCTCGTCAAAGGTTACATAAAGCTCAAGCGGAATAAAACGGCAGGCCTTACCTGGAAGGGAGCAAAGTAGTGAAGAGAGAGAGAGAGAGAGAGAGAGAGAGAGGGCGAGAGAGAAAGATGGAACCTATCTAGAACTTTCAAACTCGACGCACTAATAAATTGCCGTCAAGTGCCGCTCTCTCACCTCTCCTCCTCTCCTCTCTTCATCACTCTTTCACGCGAACATTGCGCTTGCCCTTTTAATCTCACTCACATTCATTTGATCGCGTTATCAGAGGCATAACGATGCTAATAATTTACCGACAACGATATTCCGTGACGGAAGCGCGTGTTCGCGTAAGCCACGTAGGTGTCCTGTCGTGTCTCGTGTCGTAACTGAGCGCATTTTTCCGCCCGCCTGTCGACAGATCGGTGTCTGGAAGTCCTGGGAGAAAGAGGGTCTGGACATCAAGGACATTGTTTGGCCGGGCAATACCCACACGCCGCCACAGGGTGTACCGGAGAAGTTTTACCTCAAGATAACCTTCCTGGAGGAGCCGCCCTACATCAATCTTGCACCGCCCGATCCTGTGACCGGAAAATGCCTGGTGGATCGCGGCGTTCACTGTCGAGTGGCCAAGGACTCCGACATGGGCGAGTAAGTATGAGAAATTGGATTCTTTTGCCGACCGAGTATTCGTGCCGGCGCGACGATATCCCTCTCCCCCCGCGACGCGTCGATATCCACCCGGTGGGCATTCACGGGCTCGCGACCTCCGCTTTTATATCTTTGTACAAGCGCGGGCCTTTTCACGTCTCTCTTCGATGCGATTACTTTTTGATTCATCTGTATGCACTCCCTTCGTGCTCTACCGGGGATTATTTTCGCAGGGCGCTGTGCGCCCGAGTTGCGATTAAACGATTGCCTCTTCAAACGCCCGTGCATGTTGGAGCTCTCTTTGTAGACGTATTCCCTCTCTGTTACCCGCCCTCTTAATTTAGCACGTACATATAAACGGACGAACATTTTAACGGTTTATATTTATATTTTATTCAAACGGCAGAATTATTCTCGCTTGATGCGGCTGCGGCCTCTGACTGCTTTGAGCGACGTGCGTATGTCTGAAACTATAAAGCGACTTTACTACTTTGGGACTTTGTAATTATCGTCCGTGTGTCCGCGCTTATATACGAATAAATACGCTTCTATTGAAACGGTCTCGCATGAAGAAGACTATGATATGTTTCGTACTACACAAGTCACTCAAATAATTCGCAAAGCGACGGGCTAAGCGGCCTGACGATAGCATGTCGGATCACAAGCGAGTATTCATTACTTGAAAATATCGTCTGACCATAGACGAACGTTTGTTACTTAATATTCACGTGCCCCGAAAACTCGTGGGATTTACCAGTCCGCTTTTCAAAGAATTATTTTCACCTCCGAGCAGGCAGCAGTAGAACGCTAAAGAGAAAGGTGGAAAAATATTATATCTAAAATCATTTGTGAATTTTACACACACACACACACACACACACACATTTTCTGTTCTCACTCCGTCTTCCCTCATCAAACTAGGACTCATCAGAAACTTGAACTCTAACGTTCAACAAGCGAACAGTCGTCGCATTTCGTTAATAACACACATGCCAGCGAGTTGCATAATATACTACTGCACCACCACCGGCACGCACGCACCAACACTCCAATGATTCCACCCGCGCCGTTCCCGAGTACGAGATCAGACTCATCAAGTCCTGAACAGACTCGGCGCTGCTTTTAAGTCAAGACCGAATATTAAGGTCGAACGTCACGGCGCGCGACGCATTTATTTCGTTTACGAGCGAGTCTCGGCAAAATACATCAAGTCGCTCCTTCGTCGACTCAGTACGCGAAGGAGCGAGAGAGAGAGAGAGGGGGGAGTAGAGAACTCCGTTATGCGCGTCCAAATCCAAAATTAAAGGGCCGTCCTTCCCTTTGAAGGAGGCACCGGACGTCACCGAAGCTAACGTTCATGCCGCAAGGGAGGGCGTGTGTTAACATTTACGGTGACATGTAGCAACGTTTGTCATGCGGTAAATGAGGTCTTCGGAAAGCACCGTCGTAACCGTCAGTGCACCTTTGTTGGCGGGCTCTTCGAGGGATTTTGCGTTGAGCCTCGCGAAAACGTCGCGTATGTAATGAGGCGTTTATGTTCCTCACGCGACGGAGAGGCACTTCGCGTTCGTTGTCGGGTCGTTATACAGCCTCGACTGTCGCTCGATAAATTACCGGGCCTGACCTTCGCCAAACTCCGATTAAACGATGACGATGATCGACCGACGAAATTGCCAACGGCCGATTTCTGACTAATGCAATTTTTCATTCACCAACAACGACGGGATTGATTATTTCACGTTGAAAAAGTAATGTAGTTGACGATAAAGTTGATTGAGAAGTCTATCGGAAGATTCGAAATGATTAATCACATGATGCAACTTTGACCCTGATTTGTGACTCTGAGAGGAAATTGCAATTTTAAATGCAAGCTTTATATAGAAGAGACAGTGTTCTGACTCGTTTCAGCAACAAACTGTGCTTTATCCTCCGTGCTAACAATTGTACCGATCGAGTCAATCGTCGCGATTAGCTTATAATCGAAATGTTTTACAAAAGTTCCATCCAGAGTATGTTGTTAAATTACCAAAATTATATAATCCACAAGTAGCCGTTCGATCGGCTCGTGTCATCAAGGCGTAACACGCGCTTAACACGCTGCCGAGATTCATCGAGTGCGCTCGGACCAATCGTTGTTATATTTCCAATTTGAAGTATCATCGATATCGTTTGCGGGGGTTACAGCTGCCGGCAGACGTTCTCTGCATTTAATGGCATTTATTTGCGCGAAACCGGGTCACGTAATACACGTTAAAAACTTGACCGCGCATACGCGCCTCTGTGTAGTGTGCGTGCGACAGCTGTTGCAGTCCTCGTTTCCATTGTAAACTCGAGAGCCCGTGCAAAAATCTATTTCCGTGCAAAAACAATACGGCACTCCGTTGAAAACGGTACGACGCGACGCGACGAGACGCGACGCGACGCAACGCGAGTGGCTCTTTACATTCCGCTCTATTTCGTTCTCCTGGCGAGGAAATATTGAACCAACAATTCACTACAGTTACGCATTTTTAATCACAAAGAGAATAGGGATCAAAGGAGTAAAGCCGTCTTCAGCAAGATGGGAACGGATCCTCTGATAATTACGCGTACAATTTGCAGCTGAATTAGCTCGAATACATTTCCTTCGGTCGAGTTGATTCGCAGATATTTCATTTGTGTTTTTACACAATTCTTTTATGTTTGTCGGAATTCATAGCACTTAAGGATCAAAAGAGACGTAAATTTTTCGAGTTCAAAGTTGCATGTAGCGATTACGTCATGAATATTACTTGACGAACGAAGATCAGGCGCGAAATAAAATCGCGAACAATTATCGAGTCTGAAGGCGAAAAGAAAGCTAACAAAGTTAACGGGTATCAATATATATCAGCTCCGACTCGAATCCTACCTCGAAAATACCTTGCTGACAAGTTTCCCAGAGGCATTCGCGAGAGTATCGATGTGGAAGTAATTGGAGCTCTCTTCGAGAGAAGAAGAGAGGACGAGGGGGAGAGAGAGAGATAGAGAGAGAGAGAGAGAGAGAGATGCGATTCGCGCGAAGCAACCTTAGGAAATTACGACGGAGGAAGACACAAAGTAGACAAGTCGATTTTCCGCTTCAATTGTCGACGTACAACAATCGGCTCGGCAACGAGGAAACTTCCGAAAGGTTAAATACCGAATATTCATAAATTGATAGTCACGCGTGACAACATTCGTTGCGTTATGCTTTATTTCAATTTAAAGCGCGTGTTCCGCGTCACGAAGTTTTATTAAAGTTTATTATTACTAGTTTTGTGAGAGTCTCCTCGCGTATCCTTTTCGAACGACACTTCTATTCGCAATTTAATAATTTACTATCGCCCTAACTATGAGCCTCAACAATAACTTTGTAAACTAATGACGTCGGATTTTTCCAATAAGAAAAGGAAGAAAACAGCAATCTTTTTTAGTTATAAATTAAAGTAAAAGATCTGAAATTAATTGCCTCAAATCTTATATTAAATCTTGAATTATAAAGGTACTCTTAACAAATTAAAACTACTTCTCTAATCTGATATGAGATTAAGTCTTTCCAACTGGAAAAGAAAGAAACAATTTCTTCCGTGATCGTAAGTTAAAGAGAGAAATTTTTATCTATTTACCGCAAATGTTTTACATGAAATCTTAGACTAAAGACTCTAAGGAGAATGAAGCAATATATTTTTTACAATTGTTTGTAGAAATGTCTAATCGTAAAGCGATCGCTCTTAGTCACGTAGCGCCTCGTATATCCCAGCGGAGTAGGTCGCTCAACTACCGCATCCACGTCGATAAACAAGGAAGGAGAATTAACGCTCGGTACGTTTCCCACGAGAGCAGGAGCGGTATCTCGAGAGAAAGGTGTAATTGAAAATTCCGCGACAAATCGTCGCGAAGTCGCTTGAAAACCGTCGACGTGGGAACGCCGTTATTCTCCTTTTGAAGTAAATTGCGGAGTTGTTGATACGTGCGCTGAGCGATCGCAAGAACCGCGCGACAAACTTAACAACGAGACGTACAACTGCAAGTGCGAATGTAAAGACCGAAGCTGAGCGAGGTGAGCATATGAGCGCTGCGAGAGACACGTGAAAAATATTAATCGACATGCCGCGAGGCGCGAAATTTTTTTTCGCGAGTCTGCTGCGGATTGCCGCGTCAAATTTAGACAAACAGTCGGTCCAACTTTAAAAGCGTTTCTCGTCGGGCGAAATATTGAACTGTTTCCACGAGTGAACTCATGCAAATTTATCGCGACGCGATCTCCCGCATTTCGCCTCATGCCACATTTGACACTTGATTCGCTAGAAGCGGGCGCGATATGATCGGTGCTTTTTCGCCCCGCCGGAATGCAGAGCATAACGCATCAAGTGTCCGGCTCACTTTACCGGCGAAAAGAAATATTCTTCGTTCCGGTGTAATAAATCGAGTTAATCAAGCGCGAATAACGAGGTGTATTCGCGCGCACGCGAGAGACATATCGCGAGCGAAGTAGAGCGAAGTAGAGAACGCGCTGAAAGGGATTAAAGCACTGAGCGGAGACACCGCGAATCATTCTTACTCGCGCGGCCAACGGAGGCCAACTAATTGCCGTTAATGAAAAATTAAGGCAGCGCGAGTGTGTTCCGTCAGCCGGATGAAAGGAAGTGGCTGGCAGTAACAAATTCCCCTGATTGCTAATTGCCGTGCAGTTCAGAGGAACGTTATTCCTTCCCTTAACGAATTGATATTGGCGTCGTAAGAAATTCGCGCTTGGAGAAGGAGGAGGGAGGAACGGGGGCGAGTATATATTGCGCGGTGAACGAAATAATTGGCGACAAATTACACTGGGAGCTGCGGCGCGGGCGCAACGTTTTCACGCTCATGATATACCGTCGGCACGAGAGACAATTTATCCACGTTACGTTTATAATTTTTCTCCGACCGCGGAGTATCGCGTTCTCATTCAATTAGCGAGGCACTGCGAAATAATGAATGTCATATCGCCGGCGTTTCGGTAA